AATCTCCGCCGCACGGTGGAATGAACCGTCGGAAAAACTTGAACCAAAGAGAGAACAAGAGCCCGAATTTACCTGAGCGAATTTTTTTTGAAGTTCCGAACCTGTCTGGAACCTGTTGTTACCAGATTCGACCAATCAGATCCGTTGGTTTTCGATAGGTCGAACCTTTTTTAGAACCACCTCGCGAGGTGGTACCAAAATCACGCACCAGCGTTGCGATTCGTTGAGTCACCGAATCGGAAGTTCCGAACTCAAATAGAATGGCAGCTCGGAGGTTCGGGCATAAAAGTAGTGCCGAACCTCTAAATAGAACTCGCTTTTTGAGTTGCGGCCCGAGAGATACCCCCTACTTTTACAAGGCGTCTCTGATTGGCTGATCCGCCCGGTGCCCACTTTCTGGAGCCCTCGTGGAAAGTAACACGGGGTTCATTTTCCATCGAAAATATGTCGAAAACAAGGGAAAATGTTTGCATCGGAGATTTCAGAAATAGATTCTCCAGATCCAGTCAGCTTCCTGTGGTGTAGTGGTTGAAGCGCTTGCTCCATGATCGGGGGGTTCCGGTTTCGATTCCCGGCCAGGTGACCCGAGTTTGATGGTTTCAAACAACGATTATCTGAGGCTGGCTTGATTAGGGACGGAGGAGGATGGGACTTTAGGGATGGCAAAGCACAAGATAAGCCCTCGTGGGATAACCTCGTGAAAAAAAAAAAAAAAAAAAAAAAAAAAAAAAAATCTGAATGTATTGATGGGTAATGCATGACACTAACTTTTTTCTCAAACACACCAAACAGTTCGACCTGGAATTTTATTTTTTCAACTTAAAATATGACACTTCGCTAAAAAGGGGTGGGGGAGGGGGCCATGCTCCCCTCAGAAAATTTTGCAAACAAATAAAACCGCAATTTTTTATATTCCTTGGGTCGTTCAGAGTAGGTAGGTTGTCCTTCTATAAAAAATTCCAGTCGCCAAACAATCAGACAATATTTTGACTCTGTTTCCATCCCTGGCCCACATTACCATCCGTCAGTTTGACCCACTCTAAAGTCAGGCTGAAACCTCCCTTACGTAACAACCCCTGACGTAATCGTCCGTCAAAAGCACTTACAACCATCGGAGAAAGCAACTACTCGCCGTTAATTATTGGCGAAAAAAGAGGAGCCAGTGGCAGGGGGGGGGG